GGTGTGCTCCACCATGCCCGGCTAATTTTTGTATTTTTAGTAGAGACGGGGTTTCACCCTATTGGCCAGGCTGGTCTCGAACTCTTGACCTTGTGATCCGCCCACCTTGGTCTCCCAAAGCGCTGGAATTACAGGCGTGAGCCATCGCGCCCGGCCCAGTCTCACATTTTAAGCTAGATTTTGCTTTTATGTGACAATCACTTGTACGTTGTTCACTGTGTTTTAAATCCTATCTCTGGGCACTTGGCAAATATCAACTTATTTCATGCTCACTCCAACTCCCGTCATCTCCCCATTTTGCAGACGAGAAAACAGAGGCTCCATAGGTTGAGGTGACTAGCCCAGGGTCACACCACCAGGATTTGAACTCAGGCTGGGTGGCTCCCAGCAGTGCCCTGAGGTGTCCTTCTCTTTCCCTGCAGTGCAGACCCAGAAGCCAGATCACCCTGTCAAAGGGGAGTGGGTGCGGCGGTTCCCGCCTGTCATCCTAGTACTTTGGGAGGCCGAGGCGGGTGGATCACAAGGTCAAGAGATCGAGACCATCCTGGGCAACGAGGTGAAACCCCGTCTCTACTAAAAATACAAAAATTAGCCGGGCATGGTGGCACGTGCCTGTGATCCCAGCTACTCAGGAGGCTGAGGCAGGAGAATTGCCTGAGCCCAGGAGGCGGAGGTTGCGGTGAGCCGAGATCGCGCCATTGCACTCCAGCCTGGGTACCAAGAGCGAAACTCCGTCTCAAAAAAAAAAAAAATTATTATTATATATGTATATATCATATATAATACATATATGAGATTTTTGAAAATTCTTTTGCTTTAGAGATGGAGTCTCAATGTGTTGCCCAGGGTGGAGTGCAGCAGCATTCACAGCCACGATCATAGCACACTACAGCTTGGAACTCCTGGGCTCTCGTGATCCTCCTTCCTCAGCCTCCTGAGTAGCTGGGACTACAGGCCTAAGTCATGCCCTACGTCTTTTTTTTTTTTTTTTTCTTTGAGACAGAGTCTCGCTCTGTCGCCCAGGCTGGAGTGCAGTGGCACGATCTCGGCTCACTTACTCTCCTAACATAGAAAACACAGCAAAACACAGATCTCCATGTAGTTTATACCAACTTTCATGAGTATATGGCAACCAACATTTTTAGAGGCATATATACTTTTTTGTTTGTTTTTTGGTTTGGGGGTTTGTTGGGATTTTTATCTATTTTATTTTATGTCTTTATTTTGAGACAGAGTCTTACTCTGTCACCCAGGCTGGAGTGCAGTGATGTGATCTCGGCTCACTGCAACCTCTGCCTCCTGGGTTCAAACGATTCTCCCGCCTCAGCCTCCTGAGTTGCTGGGACTACAGGCACTCATCACTATGCCCTGGCTAATTTTTGTATTTTTCTTAGTGATGGGGTTTCATCATGTTGGCCAGCCTGATCTTGAACTCTTGACCTCATGGGATCCAACCGCTCGGCCTCCCAAAGTCCTGGGATCACAGGTGTGCGCCACTGCACCCAGCCTCTGTTGTTTTTTGGAGACAGGATCTCACTCTGCTGCCCAGGCTGGAGTGCAATGGTGTGATCACAGCTCACTGCAGCCCCAACCTCCTGGCTCAAGCGATCCACCCACCTCAGCCTCCCAAGTAACTGGGACTACAGGTGTGTGCCACCACGCCCCACAAATTTAAAATTTTTTGTAGAGATAAGATCTCACTATGTTGTCCAGGCTGGTCTTGAACTACTGGCCTCAAGTGACCCTCCTGCCTTTGACTTCCAAAGCACTGGGATTACATGTGAGCCACTGAGCCCCGCCCCTATATGTGTTTTCTCACGTTTAGAATAGGCTCCCAGAATTTAGACCATCAAGTCTGAGCCTGTCTTAGGCCTGTGCCACATAAGCCAAACTGATTTTCCAATTCATACACCCATTCAAGCAGTGATGAAAATGCCTGTTTCACCACATCCTCACCAGCACCGGGTTTTATTCATTTGAAAATCTTTGGTGACTTTGAGGAAGGCCAAAACATGGGACATGCTTACTGTTTTTCCACCTGTCTTTTGGTCTCTGTAAGGCTGAACCTTTTAAATATGTTTGCTTAGTCAGGCCGTCCCTGGGGAATGTTCTAGAGTAGAATATCAACTTGACACCTAGGGAAGAACGGGTCCCTTCACGTGGGGTTGGGGGGCAGAGACTTAGCTCTGTTGGATCCTATAGTTATGCAGAAAGCAGAATTTGCAAGCAGGGCACTTGGACATTTAGCCTCGGGGAATTTCCAGCAAAGCGGCGAAAGCCGCAGCCTGGTTTCTTCTCTCTGCTTATTGTAAAATGTGAGAGGAAATAGACAGATTGAGGGAAGAAGTGTGAAGTCAAAAGGAACCAGGACTTGATGATCTGGGAAATTCTAAGCCTACTCGGATCACCAAAGACGCTAAAATTAGATGGTCCCCACCGTCACCACTCACCAGCTGGGTGACCTCCAGCAAGTGTCCAAACCTCTCTGAGACTCAGTTTCCTCATCTGCGAAATGGGGTTGATGGTAATAGCACCCACTTCGAAGGGCTGTGGTGAGGGGTGAGTGAGTGGGTTCCTGTCAAGCACCCCATGAAATGCCGGGCAGGCGCAGGGGTGGCTTCGTCCGGGGCAGGATAGGTGAAATGAGCATACATCCGCGCTCCGCCGTCTCTATTCCCGGCTGCTATCAACCCATTCCTCGCCTCTTCTCCTCACCGCCAGGTACCTAATTCCCCGAGGCAGGGGAGGGGGTGAGGATTCAAGCTGAGGATTAGCGCAGGCCGATTAGAGATGGGAGGGTAGGAGGGAGGAGGGGGCTCTCTAAGCCGCTAACCCTTCCCTTGCCAGTCCTGCCTGAGGTTTGCGGGAAGGGTGGGGGCCCGCCACACTCCTGGAGAAAGCCTGAGGGTCCCTGCTGGTTGACCCCAGGTTGATCCCCCTCTGGGCCTCATTTGTTCCTTCTGAGCTATGGGGCAGAGACTGCAGAAATGAAATGGGCAAGCCTCGGCGTCTGAAGATGAGGGCACAGGGTAAATGCCCCGGGGCTGGCTGAGACATTCTTCATCCAGACACACTGAGCGCCTACCATGTGGGCAAAGCTGCTGGCATCACCGTCGCTAGAACTGCTCAGCTCCCAGAGTGCCAGACTCAACTTCTAGAACCCCCAGACTCAGCCACCGCTCCGGAGGGGCGCTCGGGGGCCTGATTCTCCTCCCGGAGTGCCGCCCGCCTCCACCCTCACCCTGGCGCCCTTCTTCCCTAAAGGGGGTCCCTGAGATCTGGGAGCCCCACTGGTGGTAGGGGGTAACTGGGGAAAGACAGACAGAAGGACCATAGCAGAACCCCCTTCACCCACTGAGCCCGGGCAACACTCCCCCAGCTGCGCCAGACGCAGAGCCTGTGGGGGGGAGGGGGCGGCGCCTACTCTGCGGCTGTCAGAGGAGGGGGACTGCGGGAGAGCGCTTGGGGGGGCGCTGCGGCAGCCGGTCCCAACCCGCAGCGGTTCGCGCTGCAGGGGCGGGGGCGCTGACCCACCGAGGCCCGGCCCCTCCGCCGCTGCGGAGGCCTCCCCATTAATCCTGACGGGGGAGGGGGTGCCCTCTGCCCCCCACCTCCTACGGGGGCCGCTGCGTGCGCTCCCCCGCCACCCCCACCTGGAGCCCCTGCGGGACCCCCAAGGGACCCCCGCCCCCAGGTCGGTCGCCCTCGGTGTCGGTGTCGGAGTCTCTGTCTGTGTCCCTGTCTGTCCCGTCTCCCTGCTGTGCGTGTGTGTAGCCGCGTGTCCCCGGACACCTGCAGTCACCAGCCAGGGCGGCTGGGGGAGGGGTCCCGGGGTTGGCGCGTGGGTCCCCCTGAGGTCTGAGTGTCTTTAAGGGACTGTGCAATCTCGGGGTGCCAGCCCCACAGGCTGCGAGTGTGCGTCTGTGTCGGCCTCCTGCAGAAGGCGTGTGTCCCAGACGCCCCACGGGCTTCGAGCGTGGGTCCCCGTGTGCCCAGCGGACACCCACGGGCCGCGTGTCCGTCCCACGCTGCCGGCGCCGCGCGTGGGGGTCTCTGTGCGGGTCCGTGTGCGGCGTGTGTGTGTCCGTGGCGGAGTCGAGGAGGCCCGGCCCGCCGGTGTCCCCGAGTCGCCTGCGCGCGAGTGTGTGAGTGCGCGTGTGTGTGCGCGCGCGCCGCGGCGAAGGTGGATCCGCTCGTTCCGCAGCCAGCCCGGCCGGGGCCCCGCGACCTGCAGCCGCCACCGCTGCCGCCTCTCCCCGGGCCTCCCCTCGCGCGGGCCGGGCCGGGGATGGAGCCGCAGCCGGAGCAGCCGCAGCCGGAACCGCGGCGCGGAGCAGCCTGAGGCGCGGGCGGCGCGCGGGACCGGGGGGAGGGCGGGCCGAGGGGAGGGTCCTGCGGGCCGGGGGGGCGGGCGCGGCGCGCCCCCTCCCTGGCGCGCTCGCTCCCTCCCCCGCGCGCCCTCCCTCGCCGCCTCCTCCCGCCGCCTGCGGCCCCCCCTCGCCGGGGACCGAGCGCGCTCGCTCCGGCGCCGGCCTCGCCTCCTCCTCGCCCAGCGCCATGGTACGTCGCCGCACCCACTTTCGTTTTCGCCCGGGGACTTTTTGGGGTGGTGCGTGGGCTCCGGGCGAAAGTTGCAAGGTCTGGGGGGGCAGGGGGCGGGGGCTGCCTGGAGGAGGGGCCCGAGGCGCGGACCCCCACTCGCCAGTCGCCGCGGGACCCCTACCCACGATCCCCCCCACCCCGGCTGGGGGCGGAGCTGGCGCGCGGGGCGCAGCGCGAGACCCCAAGTGGGGGGCCCTTCGCGGGCACCTCGGAGTTGGCGGGGAGGGCGGGGCTCCCCGGAGAAGGCCCCCCCCACCCCAGGCTGGGCCCCCGCCCCCTCCCCGGCCAGACCCCAGGCGGGAGGGCGCGGCCCTGGGCGCACGACCCCCGAGCGCGCAGCCCTTGGGGGACCCGGGCCAGGGAGGGGGCGCACAGCGGGGCGGCGCGGGGTGGGGGTCGCGGCAGCCCCCGCGGGGTGCCCCGGCCCGGGCGAGCGCGGCGCGCCAGCTAGCGGAAAATGGCCGCTGCGGAGAGGGGCGGAGAGCGCGCCGCGGCCGCCGCCGGGCGCCTTGAACTTGGAGCCGGGCGGGCGGCCGCGCTCGGCGCCGCGCAGGAGCAGCCGCCCCCCCTGCCCTCGCACTGCCCCCGCCTGGTACCTCTGCAGACCCCGGCCCTTAAACCGCACATGCTGCGGGCTCCCCAGCTGGGAGGAATCCCCGGGTCTCGGTCAGGCGCGCCCCAGGCCCGGGAGCTGCGGCGGTGGCTGCACTTGGGGTTCCGGTGTCCGGTCGGCTGGCGTCAGGGTCGTGCGCACCTCGAGGGGCGCGTGGGGGCCCCTGCGCTCCGGAACGGGCCGGTGCTGGCGTCTGGGGGAGCGTGCAGGGTGCGCGCGGCGGGGTGGTCGCGTACCTGCCGTGGGGCCGCGGGTCCCGGCGCGCCGGCTCCTCCGCTTTCTGTGTCCGCGTGTGTCTGCACATCCACGTGCTGCCGTGTGTTGTGTTGTGAGCGCCGTCCGCGTTGTGCGGCTGCGGGACACTCCTGTGTCTCTGAATAACTCGGCGACTGTGCCGCGCGTCCCTGCGGGGCGGTGTTGTGAAACTGTGGCTGCGCTGCGTGTCCGCGGGGCCGCGTGTCCCTGGGTGACCGTGGGGTGTCCCCGTGTGGGTGTGTGGCGCTGTGAGGGGGGTCGCCCGCCAGCGGGGAACTGTCGAGTGTCCCAGGGGAGAGTTGGGGGCTGCTCGCTGTGTGCGAGTGACTGGCCCTGACCGTCCTGGGGAGGGGTCTGCCTTCCCAGCCTGGCCTCCCCCCAGTTCCTTTTTTTCCTGTAGCTGGGGGCTGCCTGGTCGGCGGGGGAGAGCAGGGATAGCGCTCCCTCCAGCTTTTAAAACCTCTGTCCCTTTACCTGCCCCCTCCTTCCCGTCCACTTCCCCCAGCCTTCAGGTCCCCCATCCGCGTGGCCCGAGGGGGTCCTGGCTGGAGGTTCGGGCGGGCGGGCGTGAGGTGGCGCCAGGACGCGATCAGTCGCCGCGCGGACATCGCTCGCCAGGGGTTGCGCTTGCGCGGGGACCTGCCCCGAGTGGGGCAGGTTGGCGGGGTTCCCCCCTCCCTGCGCGGCCGTGGAAGTCCCGAGGGGTGGGTGGTTACAGAAATGCAGGGACTGGGACGGGCCCCGGGGGGCGGCTAAGGAGACCCCTCTTACTCCGTGCTGGGGAGAGCCCAGGGGCGCACAGTCCCGCCTCCAGCGCTTGCCCCCAGTAGACCAAAGGCCTTGGGCACAGAGAGTTGTTTTCTCACCTCCAGGGGAATCCCCGCCGCTCCCCACCCCCACCCCACCCCCAGTGCGTTTGATATGATTTTCTAAATATAAAAACCCCAAGGCCAGGCTGGGCTCTCTCGCTTTCTTCCTGCCATCCCATTATGGGGGGCTATTTGGGATTTAGAGAAGGTGAGAAAACCCGGCTCACTGTGACAGAGACTTCCCCCCACAACACTCAAGGTCACGCTTGGGTTGTCACCATCCCCCACACCCACTCCCAGCCTCAAGACTCACCACTCTCCCTCTGCTCCCCCGACGACGGTGGGGTGCCCTGGCCTTCAGCAGACGCCATGCCCCTCAGTCCCTATTTCGGTCTGTACATAGCTGGACACGTGCATGCAGTCCTAATTACGCATGCACACACCCACGACACTCAGGGTGCCTGGGTCTGCATGACTCTGCACACACAACGACACACAGACTCACATGGACACACAGGCCTGTGTAGAGACAGATGCCACACAGACAGGAGTGCACAGACGAACGCGGACACAACCCCGAACTTAGGGGAGGAGGGGAGACGCCCTGCTCCCCTCCCTGTCCCCACCGCGTTTCTGCAAGGCCAAGAACCCAGGCCCCGCGGAGCTGGTGCGGGAGGAGCAGGGAGATGGCCTGTTTTGTGTCCTTGTGATGGTTTGTATGTGACTCTGCGTGTGCCTGCGTGGGACTACCATGAGGGTTCTGCTGTGTGTGTGTGTGTGGTTCCCTGTGGAGTGTGAGTGTGTGATTTCGGACGAGTGTCCGCATGTTTGTGGTTGTGTCTGCACCTGTGTGGGGGCAGCCTGCTTGTAAAGAAGCGTTCTGTGGGGAGTTGGGAGGGTGTTGCGTTTGTGGCTGTGTGTGTGCCATGTGTGGGTCTGTGTGCTTATGTGTGTCTCTGCTCGCCCCTCTTTGAGGAGGTCTTTGAGGTCAGGTGTGGGGAAGGCTGTGATGTAAGAGTCTGTTTTTGTGCGAGTCTGTGCCTGTGTGTGTCTGTGCGTAGCTGGGTGTGTGGTGTGGGGTCTCTGCAGCTGTTTGAGTCTTCGTGATGTGTGTCTGCGTGTCTGTGGGTTGTAGTGTGTGGTATATGTGTCTCTGTCTGGTGTGTTTGTCTTTTATCTGTACCAGCCTCAATGGCCTATTAACTTGGCCCCACTTGACCTTAACAGCTCTTCCTACAGTCTCAGTTTCTCATCTGTAAAATGGGACCACATGGGACCCTTGCAAGGTTCACAGGGAGCTGGCGTTCTGAGCCCCTGGCTGGACAGGCGCGGGCAGGGGCGGAGTGGAGGGGAGGATGCTCAGTTCAGACTGCACTGCTGCATAGTCATTTGCCTGCAAGATTGTGTCCTTTATTTTCTGGGTGTGGCGTTAGCCTGGGGGCTGGGGGGGGGGGGTTCCTATCTACCCTGCCTCAGCTGCTCTGCGAATTGCATTCAACTTTTTGAAAGTTTGCTTTGGCCATTAGCAATCATATGAAGAAGATACAGATGTATCCAGAGGAAGAAAATGAAACCTTTCTCATCACCCCCATTCCTGGGTGGAACTCCACTCCACAGTGTTACCATTTATAGTTGAAACATTTGCAGGAGTGAAATATACACATTTTAAAAAATTGTTAACAAATATTTGATATTTTCTCACACATTGTTTTTTTTTTTTTTTTTTTTGAGACGGAGTTCCACTGTTGTTGCCCAGGCTGGAGTGCAATGGCGCGATCTCGGCTCACCGCAACCTCCGCCCCCTGGCTTCAAGCGATTCTCCTGCCTCAGCCTCCCAAGTAGTTGGGATTACAGGCATGCACCACCATGCCCAGCTAATTTTTTTTTTCTTTCTTTCTTTCTTTTTTTATTTTTTTTAATTTTTTTAGTAGAGACGGAGTTTCTCCTTGTTAGGCTGGTCTCGAACTCCCTAACTCAGGTGATCTGCCCGCCTCAGCTTCCCAAAGTGCTGAGATTACAGGCGTGAGCCACCGTGCCTGGCCAAGAAATACACATTCTTATAGAGGATACATGTGTGTATTTGTATATTTCCATATCGGATGTACTTGTGGAAATATCTATTTCCATGAAGAATATATATATACACATATTGAGAGTTGGGGGGAAGAGAGTCTCGCTCTGTCCACCAGGCTGGATCCTGGCTCACTGCAACCTCCTACTCCCGTGTTCAAGTGATTGTGATTCTCCAGTCTCAGCCTCCTGAGTAGCTAAGATTACAGGCACCCACCACGATGCCCAGATAGTTTTTGTGTTTTTCGTAGAGACAGGGTTTCACCATGTTGACCAGGCTAGTTTCGGACCCCTGACCTCAAGTGATCCAACTGCCTCGGCCTCCCAAAGTGCTGGGATTACAGGCATGAGCCGCGGCACCTGGCCATGGTTACTATGTATATTTTTATAAATACACGTGTAGCTTTTAAAACCCGAAATGAGATCTGGAGTTGCCTTACTGGGTCTAAAGCAGTGAGTGGGGGGTCTCGACCGGGGGTGATTCTGCCCTAGGGGACACTTAGCCATGTCTAAGGACATTTGTGGTTGTCACAACTGGGGGGTGCTCCTGGCATGGAGAGGGTACAGGCCAGCGACGCTGCTCAGCACCCTAGGACACTGCTCAGCAGTGCCTAGGACAGCCCCAACCCAGAGAGCGTGATCCAGCCCAAATGTTCACAGTGCCAGGGGGGAGACCCTGATCTACAACTTCCTGCCCGCCCCCCCCAACTTGTCTCTTGGGGACATCACCATTTGGGAGCCGCTGGTTGCATTCAGTTGCACAGTATTCTGGCCTGTGCCGAGATGACTAAACTGATCCCCCACAGGTGGACATGGCTGCTTCCAAATTGTGGGCATCAGTGTTCTAGGTGGCAGTCAACACTTTTGTGCTCTTGTATCTGGGACAGTTATAGAGATGCCGAAGAGTGAATTAACTTTAGAGAGAGTGCTTTAAAAAAAAAAAAAAAAAAAAAAACGAATGAGCCAGATTGTGCTGGAAAGTGCCAGGAGCTAAATCATGCCTCCATCTTCCAGGCCCTCCACACACCGGTCCAAATCCACCAATTGCTTTTTAAAGAAACGAGTGTGGCTGGGCGCAATGGCTCACGCCTGTCATCCCAGCACTTTGGGAGGCCGAAATACACACCCGCCTCTACTGGTTGAGACCAGCCTGCCCAACACAGAGAAACCCCGTCTCTACTAAAAATACAAAATTAGCCTGGCGTGGTGGCGCATGCATGTAATCCCAGCTACTTAGGAGGCTGAGGCAGGAGAATTGCCTGAGCCCAGGAGGCGGAGGTTGCGGTGAGCCGAGATCGTGCCATTGCACTCCAGCCTGGGTAACAAGAGCGAAACTCCGTCTCAAAAAAAAAAAAAAAAAAAGAGTGACACCCTGTCTTAAAAAAAAAAAAAAAAAAAAAAAAAAAACCCGGGCGCGGTGGCTCACGCCTGTAATCCCAGCACTTTGGGAGGCCGAGGCGGGTGGATCATGACGTCAAGAGATCGAGACCTATCTTGCTCCACATGGTGAAACCCCGTCTCTACTAAAAATACAAAAAATTAGCTGGGCATGGTGGCGCGTGCCTGTAATCCCAGCTACTCAGGAGGCTGAGGCAGGAGAATTGCCTGAACCTAGGAGGTGGAGGCTGCGGTGAGCTGAGATCGAGCCATTGCACTCCAGCCTGGGTAACAAGAGCGAAACTCCGTCTCAAAAAAAAAAAAAAAAAAAAAAAAAAACAAGCAACTAGTATGTACAATTTCCTGCTGTAATCACAGGCAGGTATTTACCGACTTTCCTACAGCTGAGCTGGCGTGGTCCTGTTTCATGGAGGGGAAAGCGAGGTACAGAGAGATGAAGCTACTGGCTGGAGATGACATAGACCCAAGATGTCTAGACCCAAACCCGCATTGCGGTTGACCTGCTGCATGCATTTAGGGGACCAACTTTATGCTACAGGGGTGCTTCCCCCCCCAAATTGGGATATAGGCTGCTGCTTATACCTTGCAAAAGCTTCTTCCAGCAGCCACCATCACCAATAATATTAACATGCCTACACACACGCTATCCAAAGACTCCAACCTGGCCGGGCGCGGTGGCTCATGTCTGTAATCCCAGCACTTGGGGAGGCATAGGTGGGAGGATCACGAGGTCAGGAGCTCGAGACCGGCTTGGCCAACATGGTGAAATCCCGTCTCTACTAAAAATACAAAAATTAGCCGGGCGTGGTGGCAGGTGTCTATAATCCCAGCTACTTGGGAGGCTGAGGCAGGAGAATTGCTTGACCCCAGGAGGTAGAGGTTGCGGTGAGCCAAGAGTGAGCCACTGCACTCCAGCCTGGGTGACAAAGCGAGACTCCATCTCAAAAAAAAAAAAAAAAAAAAAAAAGAGGCCGGGCACGGTGGGTCACGCCTGTAATCCCAGCACTTTGGGAGGCTGAGGCCGGTGGATCACGAGGTCAAGAGATCGAGGCCATCCTGGTCAACATGGTGAAACCCCGTCTCTACTAAAAATACAAAAATTAGCTGGGCATGGTGGCGCGTGCCTGTAATCCCAGCTCCTTGGGAGGCTGAGGCAGGAGAATTGCCTGAACCCAGGAGGCGGAGGTTGCGGTGAGCCGAGATCGCGCCATTGCACTCCAGCCTGGGTAACGAGAGCGAAACTGTCTCAAAAAAAAAAAAAAAAAAAAAAAAAGATTCCAACTTTCCTACACGCGTGCTGCTGCCGTAGCCATTTTAGAGATGAGGAAACCAAGGTTTCAGGAGGGGTAGTGTGTGCTCTCAAAACTTCACCTTCCAAAGGAGTCTAAGCTGTAGAGTGAACATCGCAGGCAGGGTGTGCTGTGCAGGGGAGGGATGGTGGGAGGCATGGGGTCTGGAAGTCCAGGAGGCTTGTCTGAAGTCAATTTCAACTTTCTTTTTCTTTCTTTCTTTCCTTTTTTTTTTTTTTTTTTTTTTTTAAGACGGAGTCTTGCTCTGTCATCCAGACTGGAGTGCAATGGCTCAATCTTGGCTCCCTGCAACCTCCGCCTCCTGGGTTCAAGCGATCCTCCTGCCTCAGCCTCCTGAGTAGCTGGGATTACAGGCGCCTGTCACCGCGCCCAGCTAATTTTTGTCTTTTTAGTAGAGGTGGGGTTTCACCCTGTTGGTTAGGCTGTTCTCAAACTCCTGACTTCGTGATCCGCCCACCTTGACCTCCCAAAGTGCTAGGATTACAGGCGTGAGCCGCCGCCGCGCCTGGCCTCAACTGCAGCTTATAAATGTCTGCGAATTTTAGATTTCACCCTATACATGTCCCTAGCGTGTTTTAATAAAATAATTGCTTTATGTTATATTGGTATGTGGATTCCGAGATACACCTGTCACTATCCTGAGGGCTTAAATACTCCCTACAACTTTGTAAAGGGTTTAAAGCGCGCGCGCGCGCGCGCGCGCGTATGCACACGCACACCACACACACAGACACAAATTTATGGAGCGTTGGTGATGTGCTAGGCACTGTTTGAATAATGTCACTGTCATGCAGAGAGGAGCCTGTGGGGTCCCAGGGAACCTACCCTCTGGGCATTCAGCTACTTCTTTTTTTTTTTTTTTTTTTGAGACGGAGTTTCGCTCTTGTTACCCAGGCTGGAGTGCAATGGCGCGATCTCGGCTCACCGCAACCTCCGCCTCCTGGGTTCAGGCAATTCTCCTGCCTCAGCCTCCTGAGTAGCTGGGATTACAGGCACGCGCCACCATGCCCAGCTAATTTTTGTATTTTTAGTAGAGACGGGGTTTCACCATGTTGACCAGGATGGTCTCGATCTCTTGACGTCGTGATCCACCCGCCTCGGCGTCCCAAAGTGGGATTACAGGCGTGAGCCACCGCGCCCGGCCAGCTACTTCTTAGTCTACCTGTCAGGCCCTGGGCAAGTGGCTTCCGTTCTCTGGGCCTCAGTTTCCTCTCCTGTAATGCCTGGGGATAATGAGTGCTCGTATCTCTGCCCTGGCTTGGTGTGAAAGTATCATTTGTCCTTGGGAAACTCAGAGAGATGAGGCGAAATGGCCAAGCTTTCTAAGAATGTGTCTTAGTGGACATTTGACCGAAGGTCAGGGCTCTGCCAGGGTCACTGTCCTTATGCCCAGTCATCCCACAGGATAGGCCCCTTTAAGCCACTTTATAGGGGAGAACCCTTGGGGTGAGAATGAGAGGCTCCGCAGCCTCTGAGCGGGACTGGGAGGGTTCAGGGAGTGAACGGGGAGGGTTGGGGCCCTGTCACCAGATGCCCTGGGGGCTCAGACGGAGGCAGGCCAGGTCTCCGCCCTGTTATTCTAGAGGGAGAACAGAATGTGGGCTCTGGGGCCAGATAGCCTGGCTCCAAGCCACGCTCGCCATACCTCAGTCTAGAGATCTGGGAAATGGGCGCACCTCTGAGGCAGGTGGATATTATTGGACACCTGGGAGAGGCTGCAGGGGTTCATCCGGCCAGCTGGAGATCCTGCACTCGGTCCTCCTGCAGGGCTGGAGAGACACTCGGGCGAGGCCACCCCACCCCTGCCCCGTGCGCTGCATGAAGAGAGCAAATGCTGGAGCCTCCCGCGTTAACCTGCACACAAACCCCTCTGGCTGGGGAGCCGCAGCCCCTGCCCGGCTCTGGGAGGAGAAGGGAGAGAGGGCGCCCTGGGCAGGCCCACTGTGCGCCCAGGGTCGTACATCTTTAAGGGGAAAGAGGCGCGCTGGCCGGCCTCTGCGCACGTCACTTCTTCATTCCTTCCCTCCCCCCTGGCTCGTTCCTCCAACTTCCCGGCCAGCTCGGGGTGATGAGGGGGCGGGGAGGGGGGCCTTAAAAATCCACCTCTGGCCCCTTAACGTCCAGAAACAGCCCAGTTCCGCCCCCCCCCAACCGTCTCCGCTTGATCCGAGTGGGGTTCGCCCTGCAGTCCGGGGGTCCCGGTCTGGTGCCCCAGGGCGCTGCGTAAATACGGGAGGGGGGTATCCTGAGACATGGGGTGGGGGGAGGCTTTCCTTTCTCGCTCGCGCCCTTTTTTTCCCTCGTTTCTTTGAAAGTTGGGTGTTGAGAAGTGGGAGGTTCGGGGTGGGAGGGGAGACAAATGGGGGAGGGAGGGGGAGGGTGTCAGAGGGTGGAGAGACACAGAGACAGACAGAGACGGGGAGAGAGGAAGAGAGAGACGGAGAGAGGGAGACGGAGGGAGAGAGGGACAGAGAGCGAGGGCGAGCGGGAGGGAGGCGGAGGGAGACCGAGGGAGGAGGCGGCGAGGAGCGCGCGCCAGCCGCGGGAGGGGGGCGGGGGGGTGGTTTGGAAAAATGACTCAGTAAGTTCAGCGCGCCCGCTCCGCCGGCCCTGCGCTCCCGCCGCGCCCGGGATGTATTCGTCCCCGCTCTGCCTCACCCAGGTACGGTCCTCGCCCGCCCCGGCCCGCGCCCCCCGCGCCCCCCGCATCCCGGCCCCGGAGTTTTGAAGCCGGATGAGGCGGGACGAAAAAGGCGCGCGTCCCTCCCGCCATCCCTGCCCAGGACGCCCCCCGCGCGCCCCGAGGGCTGGGGTCCGGTGGGGGATGGGTCAGGCCGGGGGACCCCCCCCCACATACACCCCCACCTACCCCGGATCCCCTTCGAGGGACTCCCGCCCTACCCCTCACCCCCCGACTCTCGGGACCTCTCCCGGATGTGGGGGCTCGGTCTGCAGATTTGCACCCCCTCTACTCCGACGCACCCCCACCAACGCTCGAAAGGGTCGGGGTGGGGGCTGGCCCCCCTCCAGCAAGGGCCCTGCGGGAAATCCCCCCGTCTGCCTCTCAGAGGAGTCTAGGGGGTCTGACTGGACCCTGGGCCTCCCCAGCTGGCGGGACGGGGACCCCTCCTGTGCGCCCCCCCATCTCCCCCCACCAGGGCTGTGCGGGCCGCCCAGGCCCTCGGCCGCCGTTCCCCGGTTATTGGCCCACGTGTGCGTGGAGGGGGAGGGGGCACGAGAAGTTGGAGGCCCGGGAGGGGGAAGGGTGCTCAGGCCGCCCGGCTCGGTCCCCCCCCCCCAGCTTCCTCCCCCAGCACCGTCCCGGCGTTTTCGCCGCATCGATTCTAGATTCTGGAGCCTCTGTCGCCGCGGGGAGGCCCGCGCTCCGGGTCTGGCCCGGGCACTGCGGCGGACGCCCTCGCCAGCCCGGCACCTGCCCCTGCCCCCTCCCCCTCCCGTAGCCTCTCACCCCTGGCCGCGCTCCCAGACTGCCCCGGGGCGAGCCTTGTGCAATGGCCAAGGGGGTGTGTGGGGGGGTGTGGGGAGGGGGCGGCTCCCCCGGGGACTCCTTCCAGCCCCAGACTCCCCGGGGACCCCCGAGGTCTCCAGGTTCCGTTTCCTAGACCGCTGCTTTCCTCGTGACGCTGTGTGTCTTTAGTCTGGAGAGGTTCTGGCCTCAGTTTCCCCTGAGGTGACGTGCAGCTAAGGCCGGTTCTGGAGAGAGGGGCAGTATGGCGGGCAAACTGTAAAGCGCGGGCGTGTACGGGGTGCGATTCCAGCGAGGGCCAGGCCGCCTTAAGGAGCACTTAGTGGGGAGTTTGTGAGAGCCTCGCTTCCGCCCCAGGGAACAGTGCAGCCGGGGACCCCCCACCCCGAGGCATGGTCCTTGGTAGGGTCTTTCTCACCAGCCCCCTGGACCGGACAGGGAATGCAGGGGCTGGTGCTGAGGGGGTCTGAGGCCGTCCTACCTATGATCCCTTGAGTGACCTTGGTAAGTCCCTGCTCCTCTCCCAGCCTCAGTTTCCCTTTCTGAGCAGCTTTGGGGAGGGGTTCCTGAGGAAGGTATCTCTCTGAAGCTCTCCAAGAACACCTAGGGTTGGAGTGGACACGCTGTGTGACCTTGGGCAGACTTTGAAGTCTCTGGGCTTATGGGGGAGATGGAGGTGCCACCGCTGTGTCCTAGACAGCTGGAAGGAGCCACTGGAGAGGGCTGAGCGGGGAGACGCTGTTCCAGGCTAGGGACGGTGGAAGGCCTCCTGTGCACCCTGGAATTCCCCCGTCAGGGCTGCTTGGGAGCCGGCTTCCCTCCTGCTCGCTGGGCTGCGGGGAATGAGAACCCCAGTCCCGGCTTTGCCCCAGAGAACTGCTAACTCGGCCTGTTTCTGCAGGGACAGGACAAGGCCCCACCACAGAGGAACGTTCTCTGTGGAAACTGGAAAACGGAGAGGCTCAAAACGATCCAGGTGGCCATGTGCAAGAGACAGAGACAGGACGAGAGACAGGCAGAGAGACAGAGACAGGCAGAGAGACAGAGACAGGCAGAGACGGAGGCAGGGAGCTCCCAGGCTGGGGTGGGGACAGCGAGTCCCAAGTGCAGCCCTGCAATTCCTCTTTCTGCCCTTCCCTCCACCCAGCCCCGGAGCGGAGCTCGGACCCCCTGTCGGGTTTCTCTTCAGCTTGAATCTAATCCCTGCTGCCCGCCACCAAGGCCCAGCCTGGTCTGGGGTGGGGAGGGGGGCTGGGCGACTCAGGAGGGCCTCCAGGGCCCTGTGCCGAAGCTTCACACCCAGGTCCTGGCCTCCTGACTCAGTTTCCCGAATCACCTCCCCTCAGTGTCTCTCATCTTGGTCTCTTTTTGTCTGTCTTTATCTCTTTCTTTCTCCGTCTCTCTCTGACTCTCTCTGTGGGTCCCTGTCTCTCCCTGTCTCTCCGTCTCTGTCTCTCCCCACCCCGTCTCTGTTTCGCTCACAGTCACTAATGGTCTCTTTCCTCGGTCTCTCTCTCCTCCTGTCTCTGATGGCTCCGTATCTCCCTCTGTCTCTCTTGTCTCTTCGTCTCTGTCTCACCATCCCTTTCTCCTCTGTCTGCATGTCTCTCCAGTGTGTCTCTGTCTCTGCCTCCCTTTGCTCTCTCTCTCTGTGTGTCTCTCTAATACGTCTCTGTCTCTTCATCTCTGTGTCTCCGTCCCTTTCCCGATGTCTCTGCGTGTCTCTCCTAGCCCCCTCTCTCCCTGTCTCTGGGCCTCCCTCTCCCCCCTTTTCCCAGCTAATTTTACAACCTGAGCCCAACCGAAAATAGCTCCCTTTTAGCTGATCCGACCCGGATCCTTCTCGGGAGCTGAGGCTGGCGGGGGGGGGGGGGGGGGCAGGGGGCGCCTCGGTGCCAGCCCACTCCGTGCCACCCAGGCCCTGCCCGCCAAGGGGGGAGCGGGTGCTGGCGGCCCTGGGGCATTCTGGGAGCCCCGGGCCGGGCTCCGTGGTGACTCAAGCGCTTTTTCACTTTTACTCTTAAGAGGAACTGTGGAGCCCGCGGCTCCCATAAATCCTGCTGGCGGGAAGGCCGGCCTCCCTGCGCCTGCTCCGGGCCTCCCTCCCTGCCTCCCTCCCGCCGCCGCCGCCGCTGCCGCCACGTTAGTTATTCCGGGTTTGGGGCCAAGTGCCTCTTGGCTGCTGTGGCGCAGAGGATTCCCTGGGCCACCTCCACCCCGCCACCCGGTCCCTCCCTCATTCATTCATTCGGTCCCTCATTCCCTCATCCCATGCCCTCTCAGAGCAGAATGCCCTTCGCTGCCGTTTCTCCAGTGGAGAAACTGAGGCTGAGAGAGGCTGTCCTCCCACCCCAGATCCCCGGCCTGTGTTGGATTTTCTCGATCTTCCTGAAGCATCTTCTGGGACCCGAGGTTAGGTGGGAGCGGTTGAGGCGGCAGGGCCCAGGCCCGGCCTGGGTTCTTAGAGGGTGCTTGGGGGGTGCCTGCCAGGAGCAGCGGCCTGGGAGAGGGGTCAAGACTCAGAGAGGGTCAGGGCCTGCCCGGGGCTGGCAGAGCTGGGGCTCAGGCCATTTTCCATCCGGTGGCTTGGCCAGGCCTGGCCAGGTGGGCGCTCACTCCCTGTATGCCCACCGATGGCCCCTGATGCAGTCTCCACCACGTGCCACCCCACCCCTCTCCCGGGTTCTCTCCCTCTCGGGTTCTCCCCCTCCCCTCTCTGCGGCGGAGGTGTCTCTGCGCCAGGGCCCCGTGTAAATCACCAACGCTGGGATTCCGGCACAGTCAGCATTCTGGCTCCTCCCTCCCTCCCTCCCTCCCCCTCTCGATCTCCCTCCCTCCCTCCCCCTCTCTGCACCCCTCTTCTTTCTCTGTGGGTCTCTCTGAGCTGGCCTCTCTCCTGTTTCACACCGAATGGATGCGAAGCGCTGCCTGGGCCTCCTGCCCTGCCCTCCCGCCATGGCCCACCCCACACCCACCTCACCTGGGCTGCCGTGGCCTGGCCGGGACACATCCATGACACCCACATGGATGGGGACACAGCCCTGCCCTGCCTCACATCTGCCCTGCGGGGGGCGGGGGTCACCAACACAGAGACCTAGAGCGCCCCTCCAATCTGCCGGAAAAATCGTGCACAGGAGGGTGCCAAACCCGGTATAGTGCCTGGTATACAGTCGGTGCCACATAAGTGCTGCTGTGCTTGTGATGGTCGCTAAACTCATTTTCCTCTTCCCTGCCCCCACCCCCGACCCCAGACCCCAGACTGTTTCTTGCCCTGAAATGAAGTCAGCCATCAACCGAAACCCCCGCTTCCTCAGGGCTCCCTGCAGATTCAGGGAGACAGGACATTCCTGAGGCGCACGGAGCAGGGCTCGGGACTCAGCAGGTGCCCAGTCAGTACCTGTCGCACGAATGAATGAATTCTTTGGGTGGCGAAGTGGGGACTTTGATCTTCCGGAGCCACTGCCTCTCCCCCAGGAAACAGTAAAATATGAAGGGGCATGGCACTTTCTGGTATTCAGTAGGTGCCACATAAGTGCTGCTGTGCTCGTTGTTGCTGAATCAGTCATTGCGTTAAACATCCCGGAGGCATTTCCAGCTGCCCTGCCCTCGTTCTGTCTGTGTTTGCGCAGCGCAGGCCGGGCTTTGTGCTGGGTGACAAGGACAGCAGTGACCTTGAAAGACCCAGGCTTGGAGGACCCCTCTCCGTGGTGCCACTCCTGTTAGTCCTCCTTTTGTTTTGTCTTTTCTCTTTCTTTCTTTCTTTTTTTTTTTTTTTTTTGAGATGGAGTCTCACTCTGTCGCCAGGCTGGAGGGCAGTGGCACGGTCTCAGCTCACCGCAACCTCCACCTCCCAGGTTCAAGCGATTCTCCTGCCTCAGCCTCCCGAGTAGCTGGGACTACAGGCGCCCGCCACCACGCCCAGCTACTTTTTGTCTTTTTAGTAGAGACGGGGTTTCACCATGTTGGTCAGGCCAGTCTTGAACTCCCGACCTCAGGTGATCCGCCCGCCTCGGCCTCCCGCAGAGTTCCGGGATCACAGGCATGAGCCACCGCGCCCAGCCCCCGTTTCGCAGTACACACGATAGCGCAGCAGACGCTCAGCCTCTGAGAGGGTCGGCCTGTCTCCGTCACCTCCTGGCCCCTCTGGCTCAGTCCTCATTGTCCTCCTGGAACGC